GCTCAGGATTGGTGTGGCTCCAGGCTTGGAGGGCTTGCCCTGTGTTGATTGGCCAACTGGTTGTTATGGCCCATAGGCCCTCCCAGGGTGGTTGCTATGTTCTGCGCTGTCATTGCTGTGAGCTTGTCCGTAAAGCACACCCAGAGCCGTAAAGCATACCACCGCCAGCTAACTTATGATCGGTTCCTTGTCACAAGGCAGGCGTCTGACCTTCTAGTGACTAAGGCAAGGTCATGGCAAGCACGTGTTACTGTCATGGCTGCCGAAATGGGGAGCTGGTCCCTTCAGGGTCACTTCTCCCTTTCTGCTACATTGGTCACTGGGTGTCTTTGGTCACTGACTGCAGGTGCCTCTACCCACTGAGCAATCTCACCTGCCCACACTGTATTTTTATTAATGTGGATCACAGTATACAAATTTATCTAAATAATTTTGCAAAGCCAAGGACCTTAAGGACCTTAAGGAGATATATATCTATATATCTAGATATCTATATATATATATAGAGAGAGAGATATCTAGATATATAAATATATAGATATATAGACATATAGATATATATATGAAGCAGGTGGAAATTTCTCCAGAATAAAATAAAAGGCAAACAGCTAGGACTCAGAAGAGAGGCTGTGCTGAGATGAGGAAGTCAAAGCCTCATCACCAAGCTGCCTGTGTGCCACTGCAGATGTCCATGACACACTGCGTTCTCTATTCAGATGGGGTGGGGGGGTCAACAGTCACTCTCTGTGACTACAGTCTCATCTCCTGTGTGTGAAAGCCCCTAACATAAGCACTTCTAAAAGATCACTGAATCGTGCACATTCTTGCTGGGTCTTAGAGCTTCCTGTCAGCTGTTGAGCAGTAAGTAGTATCGCAGAACTTTCTTGGAGGAACATGAACAGATATCTGATCACCCCAGATTCACATCAAGGCACTGATGACAAACCAAAGAAAACATTTCACCCAAGACCAGCTTGGTGAATCAGTGGGCTTAAACTCAAGGGGTCGCATCTTTGGAAAACCTACCTCCCTACCTCTGCCTCGTGAACACTGCATCTCTGGAGCTCCCCCAGCCCACCCCCATTTCCGTTTACTACTTACAAAGCTTTGGGGAAGGGTTTGCTGAGCCTTGAAACTTTCTTCAGAGTTCTTTAAAATTGCTTGTGAATTTCATGAGTCTCTCCTTTCCCCTGTTGGTGGAAAAGCTTCAATATGGAGGAAATAGTTACTCAACAGCATTGGATCAACCCAGTCCCTTCCACCTAGTTCCCTCTTCCCCTTTCATGCTGTATGGTGTGTGTGTGTGTGTATGGGGGGTGTGTGTGTGTGGTGTGTGGGTGTGGGTGTGTGTGTGTGTGTGTGTGTGTGTGTGTGTGTGTAGGGAGGGTGTGTGTGTGTAGGGAGGGAGGGAGGGTGTGTGTGTGTGTGTGTGTGTGTGTGTGTGTGTGTAGGGAGGGTGTGTGTGTAGGGAGGGAGTTGAATTGAATTCTGTGCCATTACCATCTCCTGCTCCTCCCTCTCTATAGGCCCCTCCCCAGATAGCCATACTTGCATATTTATTATATACACATCACATAAATGGTTCTGAGTAAGAGAGAAAACACAAATGCTTGTCTGAGTCTATGATGATGGGTGCCAGTTCCATCCTTTTATTCTTCTTTGTGACTGAAGACTCCTTTGTGTCTGTATACTGTATTTGCTTTGTCCACTCACCTGTTGATAGGTATCCAAGCTATAACAGTACAGTAATAGACATAGCTGCCCCAATGCCTCTTTGGTGTCCTGACTCAGAGTTCTTCTGGTATGTACTTGGGAAGGGCACAGCTGGGTCATGTGTAGTTTTGGGAGGACTCTCCACACTGAATTCCACAGTGGCTGCCTTGGTTTATGTTTCTACCTGAAGTTGATAAAGGAGGGCAGGGTGACTTAATTCCTGGCCCTCAAGATGCCGCATTCCACAGGTGAGGTGTGTGTCCCAATGGAACAACAATGGAGACAATGGGGATGTCAAGACAAGAGCACACTAATCGCTGGCTATGGAGCAAGAGTCACAAGGAACCTCTATATAAGGATATTGCTTCCTCTGCTTAATAAAATAATAGCTTGATGTTACTTTGATAATAAAAGGTTAATGCTGGGCTGGAAAGATGGCTCCAAGGGTAAGAGTACTGGCTAGTCTTCCAAAGGTCCTGAGTTAATTCCCAGCAACCACAAAGTGGCTCACAACCACCTGTTATGAGATCTGGTGCCCTCTCCTTGTGTGCTGGCAGAACAGTGTATACATATTAAATAAATAAATCTTCAAAAAGGGTTAATGCCACAATGCTGTCAGTCAGACAACCAAGGAAAACATCTTCCAAAGAAACCCCTGCTTCCCTCCTCTCTCTTCTCTTTCTCCTCCTCCTTTTCTAAGTGAGATAACTGAATATAGTCTGTTTTCAGGGCACCTATCCCCATGTAGCTAGCAAGGGAAATTCCTTTCCTTCCAGAGTTTTCGTGAAGGAGGATCTAGGCAGAGCCAAGGGACAGCTGTATGCACTAAATAGATGCTCCTGTATAATATGGAGCTACAAGTGTACAGTGGAACTCTAATCCAACCTTACGCTCTTTTGATGGGGGAAGTCATCTGTACATATGTTTCTCTTATTGGTTGATGAATAAAACAGTTGACCAATAGGGAAGCAAGATAGGCAGGACTAGGAGGCAAGGAGGATTCTGGGAAGTGTAGTGAGAGAGGTTGCCATGTGATCCCAGGAGGAGAGGACACGTGAGTGTAGCGTTCTGGGTAAGATAAGACCTTGTAGAAATACATATATTAGTATTTATCGGTTAATACTTGAGACAGAGCTAGCCAATAAGAAGCCCTGGACACTGGCCAACAGCATTGTAACTAATAGAGTCTCTGTGCATTATTTGGCACTGACGCAGCATTGGGACCAGGTTGGTGAGAAGAGTTATCATAACTCTTTGTAATTCTTTAGCCCAAATATCTCTGCTAAGTGCTGGGGGAAAGAAGAAAACCAAAACACATAGGGCATAGTCTATCCAACCCCCACCCCCAACCGCACCCCAACCTGAGTTGTATGGTGAGCAAGCACATCACAAGCCTGGCAACTGCATAGACCAAGCATGCTGGGACCCATTGGAAAATGCAATTAAAGTCCTATTCTCAATGAGTTTGGCTTGCTTGCAAGCACGCTTCTACCTGAAGGCATCTCAGCTGCCTTCCACTCCAGATGCCTGGGCCCTCACCTACCTGCATGCTGGAGATGGAGCCCTGGGGCCTGAGCACACTAGGCAAACACTCTACCACCAAACTCCATCCCCAGCTTGCTCTTGGTTCTTAGAACAAGGAACCTTTTCCTTGGGGGCTGTTCTGCTTTGATTTCTTTCTTTCTCACCGAGTAAATTTCTTTGTGCTGTTAGGTCTCAAACTAACCCTCTTCCCAGTTTCAGTAGACCTCTCATCAAACAGTATCTTCTTTTGATTCACCTCCCCATCTTAGGAGAAGTTGTTATGTCAGTTCCTGTTTCATTCTGTGCAGGTGGGAATCACACCGGCTGTATTTGCCTAGTGTTTGTGTGTATTCAGCTAATACCCATTAAATACATGAAAAGGCAATGGCTGTATTAATGAAACAATACACTCTTAAAGAGAAAGGGGAGCTGAAGCTAGTGGTTCAGATTAAGACAGATAGATGCTGGCAGAGATGTTGGGAGCAGTGTGGGATGTTGTGTTGGGACTTTGAAGAGGAAGGGGGCCATGAATGGGAAAATTGGTAACTTTGAGGCACCAGATGATATCCTTAGTTTTGACAGATGCCACCTTCTGTACAGTGTTCATGTTAGTGGCAAAGGGAAGGCTCCCTCTATCACCACTACAGGTGCTTGGTGAGTCTGAGTAAAAACTCAGCCACCTGGTTCATGAAGAAGTCCTCCAGTGTAACATCCTTTCCCACCTTCCCTTAGAGTTCCCTTCTGAATGCTGGTACCACCTACAACTCTCTTTTCCCGTGTATGTGTTCATGTGTGTACAAATGCACTTATGTGTGTGCACGTGGGCTCAACCCTGGATGTGATTTCTCAGGAGTCAGCCACCCTGGTTTGTTTTTTGTTTGTTTGTTTGTTTGTTTGTTTGTTTGTTTTTCGTTTTTTGAGACAGTGACTCTCACTGGCCTAGAGCTTGCTCAGCAACCCCTAGGGATCACCTGCCTCCACCTTCCTAGCTCTGTGACTACAGGTACATGACACTGTGTCTGGCTTTTTAGGTAGATCCTAGGGATCGAACACAGGTCCTGATGCTTTACCATCTGAGCCATCTTCTCAGCCCTCTTTTTCTTTTGAAGTGAACAAGCAACTGAGTTTTGGGGTCCCTGCAAGCTTCTACTGCAGGCAGAGAAATGAAACTTGAGAGGCAAGGACAACTTAGTCTGGTTGGTTCAAACTTCATGAGTCTAATCCAGAGCAGTTTATATTTAAGCATATTTAAGCACAGTACAATTTGGAAAAAAGTTTCCTGGTGTAATACAATCCCAGGTTCAAATGGAGGCATAATTACATAGAAATTCAACTGAAAGTTCGTGTCATTTCTTCCAAGAAGCTGGGTTCTAGAGACAGGCTACCTGTACCAGCTTAAGGGCCTAGGGAAGGAGCTGGCCTGGCCTCTGTCATACAGATAGCACAGAGGGCATTTGGGCTTCTAGCCACCTCCAGCCCTGGTTATGGGAGCTTAGGGGAGTCTCTGGCCATATAGATAATGCAAAGGTCACCTAGACCCTGATTGTGGGAGCTTGATATGGCCTGGCCCTTTGGATAAGCAAACTATTTATTCATCACCTCCAATTCCCAGCCTTCTGGGTGGGCAAACAGGTTATACATCTTTCTCACTGAAAAAACAACCCTGCGAGCTTAACATTCCTGGTTTCTGTGGTGGTCCGTAGGCAAAAAGACCTTCGTGCTCCCACAAAAATACGAGAGGAAAAATATGGAAAGGTTTTTTTTCTCTTTGTATGCTGAGTTCTACTATTTCTTTTTGCTTGGGTTTGACCAAAACATAGTTTGTATTTTTCAAGAAAAATATCAAGGCCCCTCCCATCATTTATCACAATTTGAAAAGAGAAAAACGGGGGTCTGGGGGTGTGGCTCAGTGACAGGGTATTTCCCTCAAATGTGTAGGAGACTTGATTGTCAGCAGCACCTCATACATACACACACACACACACACACACACACACACACACACACACACACACACGATCTTGCTTATCCAGCTCTGAAAACTTGACTTCATATTAATTGAACAACGACAAACTGTTTCCCTAACATTTCAAGTGTCTTCAGTTCAGTCTAAAACATTTATGAAAGATCTACTCCAATGACAGTGGAAACTGGTTCAAATGTCTCTGCAATCAAAGGATTCTCTGTTTCATAGAAGACCTTTGTGATTTCAAGCATTCTTAGGCTTGAAAATGTAGTTCCATTGGTGGAGTGCCTGCCTAGCACACACAAGGCCCTGGTTTTGAGTCACATAGCTGGGTGTAGTGGTGCACACCTGTAATCCCAGCATGTAGGAGGTGGAGGCATGAGGATCAAGAGTTCAAGGTCATCTTCAACTACAATAATAAGGCCAGCCTGGGCTATATGAGACTCTGCCAAAAGCAAAACAAAACCAAAAAGCTCCCCTCAAAGGACTGGAGAAATGGCTGGGTAAGTAAAAGCACTTGCTGTACAAGCCTGACAGTTTTGATTTTGGACTCCAGAACCCACTGAAAAACTGGATGCAGCAGTGCAAATGCCCATAATGTGCTCTGTGAATGTTCTCTCTCTCTCTCTCTCTCTCTCTCTCTCTCTCTCTCTCTCTCTCTCTCGCTCTCACACACACACACACACACACACACAAACACACACACTTTAAAAGAAAAAGAAAACAATCTGCTTTCAAAATTTAATTTCTGTTCAGGCAAATGCACGTGACTAATATTTGAACATACTCTGTAAAGTCAACTTATACAGAAACAAGACCACAGTACCCAACTCATTCTGCTGATTCCTAACCGATTTCCTCACTTCTGTTCCCTAACTTGTAATCACAGTAAGACGACCTACGGACTGTGATTAAATTTTAACTACTTAGGTACAGATCTATGAAGGCACACTCTCTTGTGACCTTCTCAAGCCATCCATTGGAAGCAACCAAGAGGAACAGTTACATCTCATTCCCTCTCTGTGTAACCCTGTCACAGGGTTAGTTTTTCTTCCCTGGTGCCTGCTCAAACTTCCTGTGCCTGGATCATTACTAATGGCTGGCAGTAAGCATTTATGACCATAAATAACTTTTCCAGAAGCCGGGGAGTTAAGAGAGTCCACTTGTTAAAATTTGCCTTAACAAACACAAGGACCTGAGTTCAATTCCCAGAACCCACCTGAGAAAGCCAGGCAAGTCATGGTGGTGCTCTCTTGTAATCCCAGAGCTGAGGAGACTGAAAGGAGGATCCTTGGAGCTTGTTAGCCAGCCAGCCAGTCTTCGTAGCCTACTTGATGGATTCTTGGTTCCATTGAGAGACCTTGTCTCAAAAAATCCAAATGGGTAGCACCTGAGGAATGATAGCTGGTGTTGGCCTATGGCCTCCATCTATAGGTTCTCATCAAAGCACACACACCTGCGCTGGGCACACACACAAATGCACACATGCGTGAACTTACACTCAAGCATCAAGATGAATACTCTCCAATATGAACAGGCTGACAGACTGAAGAAGAACAATGGAGAGTGACGCCAGAAAACTCCATGCATTGTCGCCTTTGAGCACAGCAGGTACAACTGGGCTCTAGTGGATATGGGAGGAAAGGTACTTGTGAGTCGGAAAGGAGGAAAAGAAACAGAGGAGACAACAGAAAAGGACATCTGAAAAAAAACAAAAAAAAAAAAAACACCCAATGATGGCCTCTGCTGGTGTCGTCAGCCATTTCTGGCTTGCCCTGAGACTCTACTGGTTTCAGCACGGGAAAGTGCTGTCTCCCAGAAGCCACCAGGGCAGCTCTGGTGACAAGCTCTGGTGAAAAGCACTCCAGCACTGACCTGTTTAGTGGAAAAGGGTCGAGATTTGTGATGG